GGACGCTTTCCCCCCCTCCCCCTTCCAGCCCGGACGCTTTCCCCCCCCTCCCCCTTCCAGCCCGGACGCTTTCCCCCCCTCCCCCTTCCAGCCCGGACGCTTTCCCCCCCCCCCCCCTTCCAGCCCGGACGCTTTCCCCCCCTTCCCCCACACTTTTCCAGCCCGGACGCTTTCCCCCCCCCCTTTCCAGCCCGGACACTTTCCCCCCCCCCCCTTCCAGCCCGGACACTTTCCCCCCCCTTCCAGCCCGGACACTTTCTCCCCCCCCTTCCAGCCCGGACACTTTCCCCCCCCTTCCAGTCCGGACACTTCCCCCCTGTACCCCCTTCCAGTCCGGACACTTTCTCCCCCCCTTCCAGCCCGGACACTTCCCCCCCCCCCCTTCCAGCCCGGACACTTTCCCCCCCCCCTCCAGTCCAGACATTTCCCCCCCCCCCCCCCCCCCCCCCCCTTCCAGCCCGGACACTTTACCCCCCCCCCCTTCCAGTCCCGGACATTTCCCCCCCCCCCCCCCCCTTCCAGCCCGGACACTTCCCCCCCCCCCCTTCCAGTCCGGACACTCCCCCCCCCCCACCCCCCCTTCCAGTCCGGACACTTTCCCCCCCCCCCTTCAGCTCGGGCCAATATTCAGCTTTCAGCACTATCACACTTTGAATGACAATTGCGCAGTCATGCAACATTGGAACCAAAGGAAAATGTATAACTTTTCCCGCACAAATAGAGATTTCTTTTGGTGCTATTTGATCACCACGGGGTTTTTTATTATTTTTTGTGATATAAACAAAAATTGAAAAAACAAAAACTTTTTACTTTTTGATGCAAAACATATCCAATCAAAAATTTTAAATAATCAAATTTCTTCATAAATTTTGTCCAAAATGTATTCTGCTCCGTGTCTTTGGTAAAAAAAAAAAATCCCGAGAAGTATATATTGATTGGTTTACATGAAAGTTACAGCGTCCACAAACTATGGGGTATATACTGGGATTCTGTTTATATATATATGCTACTAATGGTGGTGATCACTGACTTATAATGGGGCTGCAATAGTGTGGCGGGCAATCTGGCACAAAGTGACGCTGGGGGGGAACAGGCTAACTGCCACTGACATCACCAGTCCTGTACACGGTCACTGTACTGATCACACTGGCTGGAAAGGGGTTAACGTCTAGAGGCAATCAAAGGGTCAACTGTGCACCTAACTACGTATAATGTGCGTATTTTGTGCTGCTTTTACTATCTCATCTCTTTGTTTCTTATTGCTGCTTTGCAGGGATGAGAAACAGAGAGATCATTCCCTTTGTACAGAGCCCTGTGTTGACTGACAGCACAGAGCTCTGGGCTGTGATTGGACACCGCCAATCAGCAGGTCCCACCCATGAATTGTTGTCTGGGACTTGCCTAAAGTTTGCTGTCAGTTGATGTCATTCCGCCAGTCCAGCCTCTGAATGCATCCCGACTTTAATGTCAGGATCCACCCAGATTGGCAGCAGGCTCAACCTCAAGTGTGCTGCTGAGAGCCCTGAGCCAGCCGCTCCTGCCCCCTGCACAGCCCGGAGCTTCAGTGAGCGCTGGAGGGGAGAGCAGAGAGACAGAGACTGACGCGGCTCTCTGCTCACTGAAGACCGGGAACTGAGCGATCAGCAGTCATGTGATCAGCAGTCTTCCATCACACATTTCTTGGTCTTAGAGGCAGCGGGGGACAGATTCCACAGCCACCTAGATGAGTAAAAGTCCGGGTTCACATACATGCGGTGCGGTATATCGCGTGTGATTTGCAGAGGAACCGCACCGCATTCCCCGCAGATCACGTGTGTGCGGTGCGATCGGAGGCGTACATTTTCTATGGCTCTATTTGCACCAAAGACATGCGGGGCCCTTTTCTGGGTCCGCACTAGAATCGGATCACACGGGTATTCACACCTCTGGGATCCGATTCTGCACATGGCACCGCGTTCTGCGGACCGATTTCGGGGTGTTAACATTCACACCCGCAGCGTTTCGCAGGAACGGGGTGCGATTCTGATGCGGTGCGGAAGTCGCACAGAAAACGCTGAGAATTCCGCCCCTCATCCGTGTGAACCCGGGGCACAATGTTTTTCCCATCCCCCAATACTTCTCTTCTCAGCGTTCACTTTGAACAGAAACACTTTTCAGATAAATAATGATTTTAATAGGAAGTGAACCCCGGCCCCTCCCCCAACAACATCATTACATAGAAGGTCACAAGAAACGTCTGCGGCGCCGTCCGATTCACACGCCATTTCGTGGTCACACAATTTCCATCCAGCATTGGGGACACCCGTGATATCAGGACAATCCCGGCACACATTTCCATGATGGGGACCTGGAAAGGCATTTGGTAAATAAATCCGTCCCGACGCCAAGCTGAGCTCCAGGCGAATACAAAGACGCAATTATTCCAGATCTGCGTTCAGATTGTTTTTAGATGCCACAAGTTTTACATTCCTGAATTTGATCTGATATCGGCCTCCTGCAGCCCCCCCCCCCCCCCGTACAGCAGAGCTCAGACGGGGAAAGGGGGAGCTGAACCCGGAGCTACATGCCGACAAGGACCATGCTGATAGGAGGTGAGAGCAGAAACAGGAGTCTGCAGCTGCTCCTTCACTGTCAATCAGAAGCCGATCACCAATGTGTACTGTCATCGTATGCCGTGTCACCCACCCAGCTGTGATGTGTAAATCTCAGGACTGGATGGACAGAAACAGAAATTCTTTGTCAGTTAAAGTGGAACTAAACCCTCCTATCCTTTACAGCCAAGCAGGCCGCTGTCTCAGCCTCTGTTCCATCCGCAGTGGCCGTCGTGCTGCACATGTGATCAGTGAGGACACTGGCCATTTGGTGGATTGACATTTCAGTTGAGAGCACAAGCAACTGTGACAGTTCTCATTCACAGCATGCCTGGAAGGAAACAGTAAATCGGGGGGTTTAGTTCCTCTTTAGAGCAGCCGCTTCATTAGCATTTTGTTGGTGTGTTTATCCGCTTGCCTGGAGTTCAGCTTTAAGCATTTATCAGAAATATCCGCCATTCGCCAGTTTCAATCACATGATTAGCGAGGAGGCGGGACCACTGCAGAGACACTCCTCCAGCCGCCTGCCTGTGTGAACCGGTCTTGGAGCTGCACAGACATCCTGGGTTGTGCTGAAATCTGCAATATATGTGAAGCACAAACACCTCATTTATCAAAGTCTGGATCTACAGCAACCAGAGTCCCTGCCCCCCGAGAGATGGCAGATGGAATCTGATTGGTTACCACGGGCAATGCCACCCCCCCCGAGAGATGACAGATGGAATCTGATTGGTTACCAAGGGCAATGCGCCCCCAGAGAGATGACAGATGGAATCCGATTGGTTACCACGGGCAATGCCCCCCCCCCCCCGAGAGATGACAGATGGAATCTGATTGGTTACCAAGGGCAATGCCGCCCCCAGAGAGATGACAGATGGAATCCGATTGGTTACCACGGGCAATGCCGCCCCCCCCCCCCCGAGAGATGGCAGATGGAATCTGATTGGTTACCACGGGCAATGCCACCCCCCCGAGAGATGGACAGATGGAATCTGATTGGTTACCACGGGCAATGCCGCCCCCCCCCGAGAGATGGCAGATGGAATCTGATTGGTTACCACGGGCAATGCCACCCCCCGAGAGATGACAGATGGAATCCGATTGGTTACCACGGGCAATGCCCCCCCCGAGAGATGACAGATGGAATCTGATTGGTTACCAAGGGCAATGCCCCCCCCCCAGAGAGATGGCAGATGGAATCTGATTGGTTACCAGGGCAATGCCACCCCCCCCCCGAGAGATGACAGATGGAATCTGATTGGTTACCACGGGCAATGCCCCCCCCACCGCCCCCCCCGAGAGATGACAGATGGAATCTGATTGGTTACCAAGGGCAATGCCGCCCCCAGAGAGATGACAGATGGAATCCGATTGGTTACCAGGGCAATGCCGCCCCCCACAGAGATGACAGATGGAATCTGATTGGTTACCAAGGGCAATGCCGCCCCCCAGAGAGATGACAGATGGAATCTGATTGGTTACCAAGGGCAATGCCGCCCCCCCCAAGAAATGACAGATGGAATCCATTTGGTTACTAACGGGCAATGCAGTTCTTCCATGTTGGATGTGTTCTCAAAGTATCTAATTGATGGATATCAATGGGAGGAGCGGCAAGGGCCTCCATGTTGGATTTGATCTAGAAGTATCTAATTGATGGATATCAATGGGAGGAGCGGCAAGGCCTCCATGTTGGATGTGTTCTCGAAGTATCTAATTGATGGATATCAATGGGAGGAGCGGCAGGGCCTCCATGTTGGATGTGGTCTAGAAGTATCTAATTGGTGGATATCAATGGGAGGAGCGGCAAGGCCTCCATGTTGGATGTGTTCTTGAAGTATCTAATTGGTGGATATCAATGGGAGGAGTGGCAGGCCTCCATGTTGGATGTGGTCTAGAAGTATCTAATTGGTGGATATCAATGGGAGGAGCAGCAAGACCTCATGTTGGATGTGGTCTAGAAGTATCTAATTGGTGGATATCAATGGGAGGAGCGGCAAGGCCTCCATGTTGGATGTGTTCTTGAAGTATCTAATTGGTGGATATCAATGGGAGGAGTGGCAGGGCCTCCATGTTGGATGTGGTCTAGAAGTATCTAATTGGTGGATATCAATGGGAGGAGCAGCAAGACCTTCATGTTGGATGTGGTCTAGAAGTATCTAATTGGTGGATATCAATGGGAGAAGCGGCAAGGCCTCCAATGTTGGATGTGACACCAGACTGAAGTCCTCACCCCATGATTGGTCTAGTATGGAGAAGCCCCTTTTCCCGGCCCTAGCTCAGGCACTCTTGGTAAGGTTCATCACAGACACAATGGAAGAAATTTGGTCCACGGTTGTCTGTCCTCCCTGAGACTCTGCCTCCATACATGAGCAGATCATACCCAAAGATCCATGTCTGAAAAGCTCCCTCCTATGGCGTCTTCTCTGCATCTCCGTCTGTCTTTTCCTGATTCCAGTCTTTAAGACCCTCAGGTAAGGTGATGTCCTCCTCAAAACTGCCCGTCCCTTCTACAAACTCTTCATAGGTGGACTTCTCAGGGAAAGGTCGGGGGCCCAGCAGCTCGATCATGTCCGATTTCTCCAGGACTTCCTTCTCCAGCAACAGCTTCCCAACCTGTTCGTGACAAACGCCAGAGTTATAGGATGATCACCTGAATGTATTCTCTGCATTAATGTAAGGAAACCTTCTGCGTACAACTACCCCCCCCCCCCCTCCCCCCCAGCTCCCCTATACCTACCTGAGCCCAATCTCCATTCAGCGCTCTGCACGATGGCAGTAGCTCTCCTGGCTCTCTCCCTTCTCATTTGCTCAGAGACAGCAGTGGAAGCTCTCTCTTCTAACTTGCTGCCCGTGATGAAATATCAGACGTGGTAATACAAGTGGTCAGAATAGCACCAGTTGCACAGCTCTCGATGTACATAGGACGATGTCTTTTGGCACACTGACTTATGAAGGTCAGTTCTCCCTGTGACTGTGCGTGCAGCCTTGTACTGCCATCAGTTAGCTGTGACAGAACTGGAATCTATTTGATACCTCGTATAGGAAAGCAAAGAAGTAGAATAGATGTAAGGAGAGCGTTACCTTCTCCACCTGATCCTTGCAGCGTGTCAGCAGCTCCAGGGTTCGGTCATAGGCGGCACTGATCAGGTCTCTGGCTTCCTGGTCAATCAGCTCTGCTGTAGCTTCACTGTAAGGTTTATCGGCAAGTATGTCCCCTTGGCGGCCAAGATCGAAGGACACCTGACCCAGCTTCTTGCTCATTCCAAACGTGACAACCTGAAGGAGGAAAAGTGTTGGTGACAACCAGTGACTAACATACAAGTGCTGCTTACTAGTCCTCCGATGTGGCGGCTGCATGCATTTCCTGAGATTTGCCTTTTTCTGCTAGTGATCCTGCCAGGGACACCTGGCCTGGAGTGACAACACTTGCTCAATGTACTATATCAGAGGAGGAGTGTTGTCACCGTAGGGCAGGACTACATAACACCCCTTCTCTGCTCTACAACATAACGGGAGGTGTTTTGTAGTCTCCAGAGGTAGCTGGGAACATAACTGATATTAATACAGTAGAGGCAGACAGCACAGGAAGTACTCAGCTCACATCATTTCTTGCGGGATCAACTGTTATCTTTTTGCACTTATGGAACAGATATTACAGACACTTTCAATGACAGTTCATTGCCGGAGTTTATATACATTGTAGAAAAGTGTTTCTCAACCTTTCTTTGGTCCAGGTGCCCTTTAAAATGGACAGTCCCGAGGTCCCCTTTAAAAATGGACAGTCCCGAGGCCTCCTTAAAAATGATCGGCAGTCCCGAGGCCCCCTTTAAAATGATCGGCAGTCCCGAGGCCCCCTTTAAAATGATGGGCAGTCCCGAGGCCCCCTTTAAAATGATGGGCAGTCCCGAGGCCCCCTTTAAAATGATGGGCAGTCCCGAGGCCCCCTTTAAAATGATGGGCAGTCCCGAGGCCCCCTTTAAAATGATCGGCAGTCCCGAGGCCCCCTTTAAATGATCGGCAGTCCCGAGGCCCCCTTTAAAATGATCGGCAGTCCCGAGGAGGCCCCCCTTTTAAAATGATGGGCAGTCCCGAGGCCCCCTTTAAAATGATGGGCAGTCCCGAGGCCCCCTTTAAAATGATGGATAGTCCCGAGACCCCCTTAAAAATGATCGGCAGTCCCGAGGCCCCCTTTAAAATGATGGGCAGTCCTGAGGCCCCCTTTAAAATGATGGGCAGTCCCGAGGCCCCCTTTAAAATGATGGATAGTCCCGAGCCCCCTTAAAAATGATGAGGCCCCCTTTAAAATGAGCAGTCCCGAGGCCCCCTTTAAAATGATGGGCAGTCCCGAGGCCCCCTTTAAAATGATGGGCCTTCCCCCCTTTTAAAATGAAGTCCCGAGGCCCCCTTTAAAATGATGGGCAGTCCCGAGGCCCCCTTAAAAATGATGGATAGTCCCGAGACCCCCTTAAAAATGATGGGCAGTCCCGAGGCCCCCTTTAAAATGATGGGGCAGTCCCGAGGCCCCCTTTAAAATGATGGGCAGTCCCGAGGCCCCCTTTAAAATGATGGGCAGTCCTGAGGCCCCCCTTTAAAATTATGGATAGTCCCGATGGCCCCCTTTAAAATGATGGGCAGTCCTGGGGCCCCCCTTTAAAATGATGGGCAGTCCTCCTTTAAAATGATCGGCAGTCCTGAGGCCCCCTTTAAAATGATCGGCAGTCCTGAGGCCCCCTTTAAAATGATGGGCAGTCCCGAGGTCCCCCCATTCTAAAATATGAGAAACTATTCTAATAGTTGTATATAACGCAGCGACACCCCCACATGGAGGACCCCCAACGTTGGAGGGATCTATTCTTCCCTACCAAATACACTTCTGCACACTGGCACTGACTAGTATTCCGATGACAGAATCCAATCAGAAGAGTGAGCAGCTATACATACGTCGTGTTGTGAGCCAGAAGTGCCCTGTACTGCGACCTACAATAAATACTCCTGTAACCCCTCCCCCTCCAGAGGATTCCCCCCCCTCCCCCTCCAGAGGATCCCCCCCCCTCCCCCTCCAGAGGATCCCCCCTTCCCCCTCCAGAGGATTTTCAAATACAAATCCCGGATACACACATGACTTTGTGCAGCCTTGCCCCCCTGTAGCAGTATTTCTGATTTAGGGCGGAGGGCTTCTGATTAATTAGTGAGCTCCACCATGTAACACCCAGTGGGGGAGATTTACTAAAACTGGAGAAGGCAAAATCTGGGGCAGCTCTGCATAGGAACCAATCAGCCTCCAGGTTTTATTGTCAACGCTTCATTGAGCAAGCTGAAGCTAGAAGCTGATTGGCTGCAGCAGATTTTAGTAAATCAACCCCCGAGTGCCTTGGTTGGAGTAACACCAACACAGTATGAATCCTTCCTGCCTCCTCACCTGTGCATACGCGGTATGTGTGACCTTCTTCAGGTCATCTGTGCTCCAGTTGTGATGCGCCCAAAGAAGATCTGTTCTGCCACACGGCCGCCCAGCATCATGCACATTCGGTCAAATAACTGCTCTTTGGTATACAGGTACTGCTCCTTGGGGAGGTACTGGGCGTAGCCGAGGCCCTTACCGCGAGGAATGATGGACACCTAGACAAAAAGCAGACATGAGTATCACACACCCAAAAAGAGAAAAACTGTCCGTTACTTCCTCCTCTCCCTGAAAAGACGGGGAGAGAAGACCAGAGAATAATGAAAGTCTACAATGACCAATCATGAGCTCTGGCCCAGCACACAAATCACTTCTGACTGACAAACTTGTTTATTATTCTTCCTTATAGTACCAACATGTGGCCCTCTATACTGTACATAATATCCGGGATTACTGGTGTCCGGAGAATGAGGAAAAGCGGAGAGTGCGGGAAAAGCGGAGAGTGCGGGACAAAGCGGAGAGTGCGGGGAAAGCGGAGAGTGCGGGGAAAAGCGGAGAGTGCGGGAAAGCGGAGAGTGCGGGGAAAGCGGAGAGTGAGGGGAAAGCGGAGAGTGCGGGGAAAGCGGAGAGTGCGGGGAAAGCGGAGAGTGCGGGAAAAGCGGAGAGTGCGGGAAAAGCGGAGAGTGAGGGAAAAGCGGAGAGTGAGGGAAAAGCAAAGCGGAGAGTGAGGGAAAAGCGGAGAGTGCGGGAAAAGCGGAGAGTGAGGGAAAAGCGAGAGAGTGAGGGAAAAGCGGAGAGTGCGGGGAAAGCGGAGAGTGCGGGGAAAGCGGAGAGTGCGGGGGAAAACGGAGAGTGCTGGGGGGGAAAACGGAGAGTGCGGGGAAAACGGAGAGTGCGGGGAAAACGGAGAGTGCGGGGAAAACGAAGAGTGCGGGGAAAACGAAGAGTGCGGGGAAAACGAAGAGTGCGGGGAAAACGAAGAGTGCGGGAAAACGAAGAGTGCGGGAAGTCATGGGTGACAAAAACCAGCAAGCTTGGAGGGAAGCTGAAGTACATTATTACTGACAGGCAGCATCATGGAGTCATCATATGGTATAGGGCAGCGCGGCAATAGAAATCCACTCAGAATTTGGTATGCCTGACATCTGCAGCCCAATGTGGTGTCACCTGGGACAAACATTGCTCCACCACTCATATACCGCCTTAAAGCAGAACTTTAGGCTCCCTACCCTACACCCCCCCCCCCCCTTTTTTTGTTTTACCCCCCACTTACCTGGTTGCAGGTCCTGCACATTACTACAGAGATGATCCTCCCTACCCCAAGTGACCCCAAAAACAAAGTGTCCGCATGCACTATGTTCCAGATATGGGACTGTCATATTTTATATCTTTTTTGGGACGGATTTACTTTTTGATTTTTCTGGATTGAGTCACTTATCCATCATTTTTTGACTGATCATTTGGGAGTCACTTTTTTTATACATCAGCAATATGGATTCATTCACTTGTGTCACCAACACTTTATAGCTGTTTGTTTGCGGCTGTTACTGTCACTTGGCATTGTTTGCACTTATTTATATGTTTTCTATACGGTATGTTGACACTTGGATGAGGACATATTTACATGGAGTTCATGTCATGTATGTTTCCACTGATCATGCACCAAGCAGCGCAGCACCCTTTCACGCCTTTATTGTCCTGTTGGGATCCGGGCGTGGTCCTGTCGGGATCCGGAGTGGTCCTGTCGGGATCCGGCGTGGTCCTGTCGGGATCCGGCCGCGGTCCTGTCGGGATCCGGCGTGGTCCTGTCGGGATCCGGCGGCTGTGGGATCCGGCCTGTCGGGATCCGGCGTGGTCCTGTCGAGATCCGGCGTGGTCCTGTCGAGATCCGGCGTGGTCCTGTCGCGATCCGGCGTGGTCCTGTCGGGATCCGGCGTGGTCCTGTCGGGATCCGGCGTGGTCCTGTCGGGATCCGGCGTGGTCCTGTCGGGATCCGGCGTGGTCCTGTCGCGATCCGGCGTGGTCCTGTCGCGATCCGGCGTGGTCCTGTCGCGATCCGGCGTGGTCCTGTCGAGATCCGGCCTGTGGTCCTGTCGAGATCCGGCGTGGTCCTGTCGCGATCCGGCGTGGTCCTGTCGCAATCCGGCGTGTCCTGACGCAATCCGGCGTGGTCCTGTCGGGCTCCGGCGTGGTCCTGTTGGGGTCCGCTTCTTCTCTGCACCCCTCTCGGTCCTGCACTGCCATCTTCTGTGACATCATTGGTAAGCTGCCTGCCTTTCCGGGTTGGGCCGACGGCTACACTGATGGGGTGCTGGCCAGCCACGCCCTCTCACCTTTTCCCAGTGAAGGACTATGCCTCCTAGGATGGACAGGAGGCAACATATCCCAGGAGGCGATGCGGGCAAAGTGCACATCAGTCACCTAGAAAAAGGCCTTTTTTTTTTCTACCAAAAAAAATTTAAAATAAATACTTTAGCTTGACATATGTTGATGCGCTCGGCCCCCGGTGAGCTTCCCAATCTCCGTAATAATTGCTCCAATAAGTTGTGTTGAAGGACAAGCAGTGACAATGAGCACCGTTTTGTGCAGGTTCCCTTTTGTTTGGGGCTGAAGTCCCATATACCTATATATTCGGCCCCTGATGACGTTACCTGTGACAAAACACGTAGGGTGGAGCCCTATGGCGGCCATAATGATGCTTGCTTACATCTACCCTAATTAACCTCCCTGGCGGTATGATTATTTCAGATTTTTGGTGCTGAAAGCGGTACCATTTTTTTGCATGGAAATATGTATTTTTTTATTGTAGGCTGTAATTTTTAGGAAAAACTCACTGAAATCTGTCCGAACAAGAGTCTAGTAAACATCCCGGGTATGATAAAATTTGAAACACAAAATCATAAATTATAATTTAATAAATAATCATAAAAATAATATAAAAATAATAAAAAATTTAATTCAATAATATAATCAAACCAAAAACACTGAAATGTGAAATAGAGCGCCAAGTTGGCACATCGCTGAGCTCAGTCGCAAAATCGTTTTCAGTTTCTGATGAGGAATTTCCCCCACCAATCATTATCACTCAATTCTGCAAGTGGTTCTGATTTACTATCGCTGTTCTCTAGCTGATCTAAACCGCGCTTTTGACCTAAAGGGACACTTTTTGGACGCCATTTTTTCTCAGTTTCCAGGCAGAAAGAACAGACAAAATGCAGGCAGGGCGCAGGACAAAGCACTCGGGACAAAATGTATGTGAAATAGGTTGAAACAGCAATGTTTTACTATGTAAAATGAAAAAAAAAAAAAAAATGACATTTTTTAAAATTTTTAAATTTCCCGCCGGCGGCGGCGCCCGTACGTCCCGACGTCACAGGGACAGGACACAGAAGCCGGATGCCGGCATCGGCCGGAGGAGATGGCCGGGGACGCTGCAGGGGACACATCGCGGGAGCGCAGGGTAAGGTAAGTGAAGAACACATGCCGGAGCAGTGCCACATGGTATTCCCGAGTGTAGCTCGGGGGGGTTACGCTTTTGGTACTGAAATGTTACCCCGAGCTACACTCGGGAATACCGCCAGGGAGGTTAAGGCCCATTGTTTGGAAGATCCTTACCTGCTGTTTTGGTGATCTGGAGGCGGATTCGAGTGACCGGCTTTCTGGATTGTTTAATAAAGTGTGACTGACCGCTCCTAACAGGGGGGGGGGGGGGGGGGGGGGGGGGGGGGGGGGGGGGGGGGGTCACGCCTTTCTGGTAAGCCTTCTGTAGTGGTTGGTGACACGACAACTTGGTTTGATTTTGTTTCCACACAGCTTCTGGGACTTTTCTTTTTATTTTTGGATGGACTATTTTTGTGACACGTTTTCCACTGTTTTCTTATGATTATTTGTAACTTTTCTGTATTTATTGCTGATTGCCTAATATCAGGTGTTTGTGTTCAGCTGCTATATGTGTTTACACCTCATTTTGATTATTGATTATCTATTGCAGTGGTTCTTAACCTTGTTGGAGGTACTGAACCCCACCAGTTTCATATGCGCATTCACCGAACCCTTCTTAATTGGAAAAATAAAATATGATTTTTTAAAATTCAAAACATCGGTATATATTTATACATAGGTGCGCAAAATGAACAAAACCGTTAAGAACAAAGAACAAAACCATTAAAACATGATTTTCCACACACAAAAACAAAAACATAATAATGAATATTTACTGCACGAATCATATGAGTCGGGTGTGGGTCTTCACCTCCGCCGAACCCGCGAGACCGACTCACCGAACCCCTGGGGTTCCATCGAACCCAGGTTAAGAACCACTGATCTATTGTGTTCTTATTAGCGCAGGTTTATATATATATATATGTATCCTTAGTCCCATATACCTACCAGGTCTCTATTCACACTCCAGCAAGAAACTCTCAATGGGTACGGGGGTTGCTATCCAGACAGGGATTGGCTGGAGCCAGTTGGGCAGACAGAGTACTTCTCAGACGTGGCCTGATATCTGGATGCTGTGTGCAGACACGTGGCATTGGATACGAAGGATACGATTGGTGACACGGACAGAACAAAGCGATTTGGGGAAGATCATTCTCTGATCTGGATTTTATGATTTTATAATTATTTCTATTCTGGGTGGAAACGGAACAAAGACACAGAAGACAGATGGGGGAAAGGTTTCTGCACATTACCTTTAGTAAAGGATCTGCATGTTCCAAAAACCAACCAACCACAGCATGGCCGGCTTCATGATAAGCCACTGTGCGCTTCTCTTCAGGCTGGAGGACCTGAGTCTTCTTCTCCAATCCTGGGAACAGAGGGTCAGTATAAGTGAATGTGATGATAAAAAGGATCATTTTAAAAAAAAAAATTATTTTTTTTTGAAACACCAAATCTGTTATACTGTACTTACCTTGTTTTTAATGGTGGGCCAGATCCTCCTCCTGTGGGGTCCCCTGCTGGTGGTCCTGGTGCCTCACCCTGCCAAGTGCTCCCATAACAAGCCACTTGCTATGGGGGCACTCATGCGGGCTGGACCCCAAGACGTGCTCTGTGTCCATAGACACACAGAGCGCAGCTTAGCGCCCCCCCCCCCCCCCCCCCCCCCCCCCCGCCTCACT